TGAGAAAGTTTTCTGAAGGGTTTTCCAGAGACCGGATTTCTGGAAAACTTCTTAGAAAACTTTTTTAAAACCCAACTCTCATGCCATTAGAAAGAGGATCATGAAAAACCTATAAAAAGATGGTTCAAGAAAAATGCCCACTGTGTAATAATCGAAAACAAGCAGCCACTATATTGAAACTCTCAGCAACGATTACATTTGAGTTTTCCAATAATTTCATCACTTTAGTGATTGATGGCATAGAAGAGCTAGGTTGAAATGTTTCCTTGCATTTATCGGTCAGTTCTGTCAAAGCTAGAATATTATTTCTAGAACATCACATACGCTCCTTGTTTTGTTCAGTATGATCTGATGATTGAAAAGAATTCTGACTATGCAATGATTTCAATGGTCGATGAAAATTTAATTTAATTAGTGCTGAGGCAACTGGAAATAAAAAAATGACAATGTCGCCGGTTTATAGAAGGCTACATTTCCGGCATGGTGCATAGCACAATCTTCAGCATTATGTCAGAAACTGAGCAAAAAACAACGATTATTCAACAATGTTAACGTAAACAATGAAACAGAAGACAAAAATTATCGTAGGAGTGACTTAGAAAAACTTAGTCAATGCAAGCTGAAAAGTGTGCACAACTAAATCATCCACCGCTTGAAACACAGGTAGAACTTGTCTTGTAGTAGCAGAGATGTCATAATACGAATATGTTATGTATCGAAAGTCACGAGTACAAACACCACTACTATGCGTATTAATAGATCTTTTTCGTGTGATTCGTAAGGATACCTATGGGGTACATATCAGAGCTCCGTATGGACTGGACTGGACTCAGATTTTTTGAATTTCATGGACTCGGACTGGACTGGACTAGACTTTTTTAGTCCATGGACTGGACTGGACTCAAAAGTTTGAGTCCATACGGAGCTCTGGTACATATACTGTTGAGAACTGTGAGAAGTGGAGAATTGTAAGAATGCACATCTCATTACATATAGTATTATTGAGAACTGGAGAACTGGAGAACCAGAGATGGACAACTCCGGCTAAGTTCAACTCCAACTCCAACTCCACTTAAAGAATTTCAACTCCAACTCTAACTCCAACTCCGCAGATCCCAAGTCCAACTCCGTTTCAACTCCAATAGGAACTTATTTTGTCCTGATTCATTTTCTTCTTTATTTTATTAGTAGTTGTTTATTTCGCTTTTGTTTACAAGAGTACACACAAAAATAGTCATTTTAACAATTCAAAATTGCATTTCAATAATGTTAATTTTGAAAGCGTACTTTTTGTCATTCTACATCGATGAGATCGGAAAAGAAAACCACTCTGTGAAAATACCCTCTCTACCGGTGCCGACGTGGCAGGTACGCATAACAATTTTTGAGCTAATGTACTTAGAATCGGATATACTGTCTTCTTTTGAAAAATAAGTGAACTATTTTCACTTTCTTCTTTTAGAAAACTAACTATCTCGTCTTGAATAGAATTTTGTATGTCTATACGTGTTTTTTTTTATTTTATTTTGTGATGAACAATAACCAAAAAGTGTTTTTCGTTTTTCACCTGAAACAATGTCTGAGCTTTCACCTTTATCATTATCTGCTGCATTATAGTAATTACTCGAACTACTGCTATCTTTACTACTATTTAATTGGAATGCAGCATCAGTAACTAACTTTTTTATTAATTGACACAAACTTTTTTTCACTGGATCAGAAAGTTCCGATAAAACTATTCAATTGAGCTTGAATTTTGCGTCGAGAAATGGTGTGATTAAAAAAAATCATCTTTAAAAAGGTGAAACGTATCTTTTTTTTTAACCATATTTTCGATGGAAATATCGAATCTTTCGAAAAGACCTCCAAAGCGAGCTTTTAACGATGTTATCAATACCTTATATAAACTCGACGTGTAAATACAACAATTTTTCAATTCATTTTCCAAATCGAAAAAAATACCAAGAAGACTAGGTGCGACCAAACTTATCGATGGAGAATTTTGTGCCTGAGCCCGTACAGTTGCTTCGGCAAAAAGTGCGAACAACGAGAGGAGTTCACGCAGTATTGCAATGTCTCTTGATGTTAAACATAATTCATCCTTATTGCAGTGGTTCAAATATTCATTTAATACATTAACTGGTATTTCAATTATTTTCATAACAGTATTGTATTGACTGTTCCAACGAGTTTTACAAGCAACCGGTATTGAATATTTATTGGCTTCCAAATTTTCCGCGAATTTGCTACTCTGATGCGAGTATTTCGCTATTTTAGCAACTTTAACCAACGAAGAACGAGCACAGCTTGACTCTTTTAAACCGTCAGCCACTACAAGTTGTAAAGTGTGACTAAAGCACGGAATACGTAATAAATTAACAGAATTATCATTTGCCAATGTGTTAAATATATTTTGAATATTATCATTTAAATTATTTTCATCTGTTTCCGAATCATCCTCATCTATCCGATCATCATCATCATCATCTTCATCACCTTCAAAATAATGCTCTAAACTAGGAACTATCAAACTTTTAAATGCTTTGACATTATTAGCAGCATTATCGGTTACCAGTCGTACAAGTTTGTTTTCAATATTATAATCTGATGAAATTATTTTTTCAAATTCATTTAGCAAAGCTTCACCAGTGTGGCTACCTGTGATTAGAGGACAAAAGTCGCGTGAGAAAACACATTCAAATACATCAAATTAAAGATATACCTGTTAATGACAAAAATGAGAGAACATATGATTTAAAAACACAATCAATGATTGAATGACCAGTTACAGCATAAAATGGTCTCATTCTCCGATCAGTCCAGATATCTAGCGTTAATGAGATAAATTCAGCAGTTGTACATATTGTTTTCAATTCACGAATCATTTTATCATATAAAGCAGGTATAGATTCTCGACAGATACTTCGGCGACTTTGAACATGAAATTTAGAATCAGCTGTACTCATTGCTCATAAAAATGCGGGACGTTCAACAATCGATAGAGGCAAACCGAGATCTATTATCAAATCATTGATTATCATATTATTTAATTCAATTTGACGAGGATGTTGACTACCGTATTTTGAAGTATTTGAAGTATTTTCTAATTTTACAAAAATATCAGCGGCTATAATACACGATGTGGATAAGTGAGCAAGAATAATCAAATAGGTAGAGATAAGATTTCGTTTTATTTTCTGTGTATTTCTTAAGAAACAGACATGAGAAAGGAAAAACGAGAGACTTGTTTTCATCAACTCTAATGTGATCACTGCAGAAAGCGACAACGCTGCAATGTTTTCTTCTATTCGCTCATTCGAGATCATATGATCATCGGTAGCATATATACACATAAGTTTAACATATTCAGAATATATAAACGTTGAACACATGTTAATATTGCTTTTATGTGACGTAACAAAAACAAAAAAAATTTTCAGAGTTGCAAAAATTTTTAACTGGAGTTGTGGAGTTGGAGTTGAAAAAATCTGAACTCAACTCAACTCTAATCTAATAAAAACGAAACTCCAACTCAACTCCAGCTCCACTAAAAAGAAGCTCAACTCCGGAGTTAACTCCAACTTCGCAGTTGGAGTTGCCCATCTCTGTGGAGAACTGTGAGAACTGGAGAACTGTGAGAATACATATCTCATTACATATAGTATTATTGAGAACTGGAGAACTGTAAGAGTACGTATTGTGTACATATAATGTTGGGAACTGTAGTACTATAGTACACTTATACTGTTGAGAATTGGAGCACTATTTTTGATAATAAAATTGTTTGACAGCTGCGTAACGGGTTTATATCATAAACTGAGGCGAGAAGACCTGTTGTTATTCTAAAAATAGATAGTAAATTGCATCTAAGGCATGGCTTTTATTTAGTTTTCATGGGCCACCGGAGCGCATTTTGATTGCGATTCCTGCTAGAGCTCTGTCGTATCAGTAGCTTTCTGTGGTGTTTACCACTGTTAGTATATTTTGTTTATGTTCAGACCACCTGTAAGGGGTAGTGTTGTGGCGGCGTCCTCAATAAATATTGCCGTATTGGTATTTCACTATAAGGAAGAGGCCTGGGTAAAAGTTATTTATTTAGAATTTAAAACTTTGATGTAACAAAATTAGGTATGCCCTGTGAAATATTCAACTGCATAAACGATAATGAAAGCCGATGCTTTCATTGACCGGTCTCCATACCAATGTATGTGCTTTTCTTTAGCTGGTTCGGAATGAATAAACAAAAGTTATTCTGAGGTCTAGTCTAAAGTACAAGTTTTCTACAGCTAACTGACAATCGACGGTGAGGACGGTTACACTGCGAAAATCAGTAAGATTTTGCCAAATTACTCATCCATTAGCGATAGTTCCCATATACAGTGCTGACAATGGGTCTCCTGCATTGACTGACGAATTAAAGATTGATAGCTGGTTTTTTACAAATAACGGAGAAATAGATACATCTATTGCTAGCTAGTTCTGTACTTTTGTTTGACGAATAAAGTTATAAGAACTGAGCTTTTAGTTGCTGTCTTTCTTACGTTTTAGAGAAATTACTTCACGTTCACAATTATTTTTTACATCACTATATGTGTGTAGTATTGAACAAAAATGGCTAAAAGAGAACAAAAGAAAAATTTCAATAATATTGATGACAAAAATTTTAAATTATGTCAGTAAATAACAGCGAATCATAAACTAAAAGAATATTTTGCAGATAGTGAAGATTTATTAAAAATATTTTCAAATTATGAAGCATTACCCAGGTCCAAAAAAACGGCCCGTTAACGGCCAGTTAATCTCCAGTAAACGGTCAACACAAAAAACGGCGCGTTAACGTTATGGAAACGGCAGAAAAACGCCCAGTAAACAAGTCGTTAACTTGC